GTTCTTTCCCAGGGACAGGTTAATTTGGCCACATTCTGCCCCAGACATCAAATTTGGAAATTTGGCAGTGAAGCAGGAGTAAGTGAACAGATCATGCTAGAAAGCACTTCTCCCTGGGAACAGCAGGAATACAAAGTAGACATGCCCGAATCCCAAAATACAACTTTTATAATACTATAATGCAACTAATAATGTGAAGAAATGAATGCAGTTCATTCTAATTCTGTTGGTAAAACGAGGCTGTGTCTGTTTACATGGGTCGAACCATGCTTGATTTTGGTAAATATATGCCTGTCTACACACACAGGCATATTAATGCTTCATGTTTATGTAAACCAAGACTTCAGTTTTGATTTAGTATTAATTGCATAGGATGAGCCCCAACACCTATACGTAATGCATTATTTATGCAAATAGCTATTCTTGTGAATTACAACACTGTCGCTTTTAAAATTCCATAAAGGAGTCCCTGAAAGGATGGAAAAAGAAAAAAGAGCTCCACCCCCTCCAATAGGACAGAAAGCATTTTAAGGGACCAAGACTGGCAGAGCTATTTATTACACATTTTTACACAGGTGATCTTAAGCTCCAACCTAGCAATGAACTCTGCAGAGGGCTCTTCTGTGTCTCCAGGGACCCACTACTGAGCTATGGCTAGACTGGGGCTTAAGCTACCTCCCAATAGAACAGAAAATGGATGACATATGCACAGGCAACAGTAAGCTAAAGTGACTTATTGCAAATGGTCTTTTAAACTTTACCTTTACAATGTAGTAAAAAATGCCTGTTCAGAGGGCTGAACTTTGCATTGAAGTAGGTGCACTGATCTTTCATAAAGTTGCATGAGAGGCACTGGCGATTCAATAATCCAACTGTTGAGACACTGGGGAAGAATGGTTGCAAGTATCAGAAGCGTTTTACTACAAGTAGTGAAACTCGCAAAGTAAGATTACTGGCCAGTAACAGAGCTGTACAACTTCTGAGTGGCCAGGAGCCATATGTCACATGGACCACACCAGGGAGACACACAATCCTCCCCATCCCTACCACTGCACTTCCTGTTTGTGTGGCCAAGAACTGACACTGACCCCCCCACACTGCACTACCCTGTCTCCTGGGGCAGGGGCAGTGGTAGGAAGCTGCAGTTGGAGAAGGAAGGGGGAGCTCAGAGCCCCCAGCTTCTGTTACATCTGGGAGCAGCAGCTGAGCAGCAGCCCAGGGGTCAAAATTTAACCCCTTGTGTGCCACACACAGCCCATGGACTGCCACCTCGACTGCCCTGGCTTATAAAGTATGGGGAAGATTCTTTTGATCTTCATTCTATATGGTTGAAGGAGATGGTTGAAGGAGATAGTTTACTCCTTTGTCAATTTTTCACCCCATGTGAAATGTTTTCATTTACTCCATTAGCCTCTAACCCTGTAAGCTTCAAGCCAAAGCAGCTTGAAGGATTGGGGCCTTAATTAATAAAGATGCCTGTGGGTGAGAATAGGAGAGAGAAATTAATGAGAATAAGGGCCTCATTAATTTTAGCTTTCAGCATTGGGGGTTTCGCATGGTTGAGACAATCTGTCCACCGATTTGAAGCTGCAGAACTAAGGCCTTAGTAAATATTAGCGATACTGAAAAAGCTTTATGTAGAGCATACAGCAAGTCTTCACAATTTATGTTTTGACCTTCTAAATTTAAATTTGAATTCGTTGGTAAATGTCTTAGTTGGTCAATGAAAGTTAAAATGGTAAAAAAATATTCAAATTGCCATGGATTTATAAACCAGAAAGTGGAGTTCTGAAATATCCTGGGCGATGTCACATGACAGGTTTTCACACCCACGTTGTGCCCATGCTGACCAATGTACACAGCTACCCAAGCTGCCCACAGAATTTTCTCCTTAAGCACCCAGTACTTGACTTTTGTGCCTTTCTTACCTGTGTAGTTGTCTTCCTCTTGGGGAATCTTCAGTGCTTAAAAAATAACTGTCCCCCCCAAAAGAAAATAGAATTGAGCTCACTTTGAAATCTTTCTAATTTGCATAACATTTAGAACTACAAATAATTTAACAATACAAAAAGTCCATTTGAAGCCTAAGCCAAAAACTTCCCAGTGTAAGGAAATATGATTATATATTAATAAAACTTTTTGGGACACATTGTGTTACAGTTACTATTATTATTTGTATCCTTGCAGTGTTTAAGAGACTTAGTCATGAATCAGGACTGCATCATACAAGGAGCTGTACAAACACAGAGCAAAAAATGGTCCTTATTCAATGTAGTTTACAATCTAAGTGTAAGACAAGAGACAACAGATAGATGAGGACAATACCAGGAGAGAGTAATCATATTGATCAGCAAATTTCTTCTTTTACCTCCTATTTTAGCTGGGGATAGCCCTAATTTGGCTACCTGTACTCTACAGGTATGGAGGTGGAAGCTAATATAGTGGGCAGAGTATTAATGTCAGGCAGTGTCTGTGAGAGCCTGTTGCAAGGACCCTGTGACTATGGAGTAATAGCACCTTTAACCACTTAAAAGTGAAAGAGAAGCTGGCGCATCAGCTCTTAAACATGGTGTCTGCATGATCAGGAGTAATAAAGTTAGCTAGGTCATGAAAATGTTAACTGAATGAAAGAGGGTTAAAAATGCAACTGTTTTCTATACGTGATCACTACAGGAGCATGCAGACATAGCAATGACACTGTGTCAGCATATATTGGTATCATTTGATATCAATGCAGTTTTTACGGCTATTTCTACCCTGGGAGTTTTCTGCGCACCCACTGGGCACATCTACATGAGACGTTTAATGCACAGTAGCCTAATAAAACTGTTCAAAATTATGCCAGGCAAAAATCATGCTAAAATGGTACTGCGCAGAAGCATTAGGCTACTGCACAGTAAGTGTCACAAAAAAAACCGTTCACCAGAGCTACTGGGCAGTAACTGTAGTTACTGAGCATTTAGTTAGTACTTCATTAAGCAGGAACTAAACTAAATGTGCAGTAACTACGGTGCATTTAATGAACATATAGATGTATCTACTGAGTGGGTACCCAAAATAAGACCCTCCAAGGCAGCAAAACATACAGGAGGAGAAGAGGATAATTACTATATTATATATAGTAATTCCCCACCAACAACTCCATCACTTCACACTGTGGCTAAGTACATAGTCAAAACCCCAGGTGAATTGATTCAATCTTTGTAGCTTAGTCTAAGCTGTGTAGATTTTATCAATAAGCAAGTGAACATACATTCACTTTTGATTCCAGAAATGGCCAGGAAGTGGCCCAGGCCAGAAGCAGGGGTTGCTAGAGCCTGCCTCACTGCTGATCTGGAGCAGACAGCATGGGCCAAAGGGAAGTTTGCAGTGGAGGTGCAAAGCGTCTTGGGATGCTGGGGGACTGTGAGTTAACTTGAATCTCAAGGGGATCTGGGACTGAAGTTCAATAAACTGATTTAACTTAAATCAGTTAAGTCTGATATTACAGTTTATATGTACTGGATTTCTGTTGTGTTATAGATTTGAACTGATTTCTGATCACTTATACTGGCTGATTTGTCATTTCTGTCCCTAGCCTGTGTGGCATGCCAGTGCCTGCCCTGCAGGTCCATCCCTCTCTCCATTTCTCCTCTAGCATCTATTTATAGCATGTGGCTACAGCTTCTCTGGAATATGCTTTCTCCAAAGCCATGATAGGATTTGTCAATGAGTGCATCTCCCGTTCCTTTCAGTCAGTAAGACTGGATATAGGAGCCTAAGAGGCTAAGCTCATAAAAGCACTATCCTAACTGAAACTCCATTGACTTCACCAGTTACACATGACATCATAGTTTGACACACCATATTTATTTCTGCTTTATACAGACATAGGAGAGGCCTTATCAAAGCCCTCTATAATGAACTGGAACCCTTCACTAGAGTCTTGTACCCCTTTACTAGGGGTTTGCCCATTCTACCTCCAGGCATTACCATTCAAGACGACACTTCATTTCTATTTAAAAACCTTCATTTTGTTCTTGACTTGACTTTGGCAAAGCTTCATAATGGGACTGGATGAAAGACGCTTGTTTTGCTAAGCTTTCTTTCTATTCTCTGATGGAGATTTTTATAGTTGTTTGAATCTAAACCTCAAAGTGAAGCTCAGAGGTTTAAAACCCCACAAACAGAAATGAAAGAAAAGGTTGGAGAAAATCCCCGAGAACCCAAACCTCTGACTTCCACCACATCTAATAACTTTTTCTGACTTTTCTGGACTCCCGGAAAAAAAAACATGGTGAAACAGTCGTCATCTCTATGCTGTGGATTAATTCCTTTTATTTAAACAACACAGCCAGGCAACAGAAGTCAAAGCATATCCCATTTCTTCATCTGAGGAAGATAGTTGCAGTATATTGGCAGATCAAATGTCTGAAACTGTACTTTGTACTCTATAACTTACGGCAGCACTTGCAAATGAAAGAAATGTTGTTCCTTAGTTTGAGAAACACTACTGCCAGGGAGATGGGCTCCATATTGGTAACTCACAGGTTTTTCCCCTGAACAGACAAAGAACAAGAATGCTTACATCTTTTGAGTATTTTCATCATATGCCAGGATTCTGATAACTTCCCAGTTTCCTGATGTCAGGTGTCTCACACTGATTTGTTCACTTTTAGCCTGGAGAGAGATGGAAAGTATTGACTTTCATCTTACTACTTACGTTTTTCTTTGCCTAACAGGATCGTCCACACATGCCATTACTGATTACAGCATTTTAATCTTTTAATGTACACCATCCCTCCTTTAAATCACAAAACCCGCATGCATCGAAAGCCATGGATTTCTCTCAATGGCTCAGCATTTCAAAGGTAGTAAAATCGTGATAATTTCCACTGCAATTTTTTTCCCCAATTACCCATAGGAAACACAGACAACAGAGGTCTATATTTCACCTCAATATTATCTTTAATCTTGCTGTGAGTTTACAAGCGAAGTTGTTGTTTTTAAGTCCCATACGGCATTCAGAAAAATGACACTGGGTTGAATAAAAATCTTTAAACAAATAATTGGGGTTTTTTTGTTTGTTTCCTAAAACAGCAATAGAGGTGCAGAAGGACCAAAGTGGAGCTGAAGTATCAATAGCCAGATCCCCAGCTGGGGTAAATTACAGCCATTTCCAACAGTTGAAGATCTGATCAGAAGGTGTTAATGATGTAAATAAAAGGAAAATCACATATTGAAATGGCACAAAAAGGACTTAGCCTGATGCCCTGGGTGCGTGTACCCCACCCCCAGCCATGTTAGGGAGAAGGACTATGAAAACAAACTCCATGTATCCCAAATGCTGAAAATTTGCAATAAAACTATTGCTAAACACGTGTCCCAGGCCACTGTTAGGCTGTCAATCCCAGGCGTGCTCACTGGAATGAAGTCAGCGCTGCTCAAACACCTACATTTATATTTTTTGGCATTTGTGGTTTGTGGACTGGGAGTGAGTGGAGTTTCACATGAACGCTCACTTGAGTAGTTAGGAGCAGTGTGTTCAAAGTGTTGCACAACTACTAGCTAGGTATCCCTGAGAATGAACTATGTTTGTACAGTGCCAAGCACAATGGGTCCTGCCTTAATCTAGGTCTCTAGAGACATTAAATGAAATACAAACAAATAACAATAACATCAACACCACCATAATCCTAGGAGATGGGCAGATTTCAAAGTGTCATCTCCATTATTGGGATGAGTCTTGGGCTTGTGTTAAAATAGAAAACCTAACGGTTATTTTATGACCTTTACCCTATGCACCTGATACCCACAAAAGTTCAAATCCCATTAGACTGACCCACACAAAGGAGGGAGCGGGGGTCACCCAGAACTGAAGGCTTTAGTCGCTAAAGATCCAGGCTCTTAACTGTGAGACACATCCCCTAAGACTTTGGCAAAGAAGAGGGTCAGAAACATCCAGTGACCAGTAGGTGACCATGGCAACTTTTTAAAAAAAGGATATAGAAAAAGCAGAAGATGAAGGCTTTACCTCCTTGTATTTTTGTACAATACCCAGCATGGCTTGAACTTTAAATCAACATCCACCAAGATGCTGAATAACATTAAGGGTAACTGTAACCATGTCACATATGCCTATCAATGTATGTTGCTACAACAGACTTGCTAGTTGACCTTAAAACTTTTAGAATTGAGGTGCCCAGCCAATAGAATTGCGGTGTCTTATCTACAGAGAAAATAGAAAAGGCCATTCAGGAAAGACTTATAAAATATTACTGTAATCTACAGAGGGCCCAAGTAAGTTCAGGTCCAATTACATTAGGTGCCACCAATATATTTATTAAGTGATATACCCAGTTCCATTGATATTCAATGGAGCCTGTAGAATTTACTAAAATACAAATTAATAATAAATGATAACTGACTGTTTCCCCTCTGGAGGAAAGGAAGAGGCTGGAGAACTTTGAATTTATTACTCAAGTTTCATCAGTGGCAGAACTGGAACAAATATTTAAGGACTGAAATCACAGAATCCAACAGAAGGCTGGGGTTTATGCTAAATATTAATGAATATGGCTATTTTTCAAGGTTACAGATGCAATGCATAATTTATTATGCTTGCTGGCAATTCTTCCCTCAAAACCATTAAATCTACCTTTAAATTCTTATTTTGTGGCTGGAAATAGAAGCCGTTCTGGATTTTGAAAAAGCTTAACTAGGAAATTACAAGGAAGATGCATCATTTACCAGTCAGTCCAATTTCTAGACTAATTTCTTTTAAATCAGTGATAAATAACTGAAGCTATTTGGGACTATAATAGACAAGTCTAGCTCTTTACATTCAGCAAGTAAATAAATTGTGATAGACTTTATATATTTTTAAAGCAGTGCCCCAGGGACTTTGAATTAGATGGTTTTTGATAACCTGATTTGCTTATATAATCGACATTTTGTGTAATATTTCTTCTAAAACTTAGCCTTTATTAAGACTCATTTAAGATGTTCTAAGCAAGAAAATAATCTCTCACTAGTTGGGCCTAATTTGGATAAGGAAACCCCAATGATTAATTGAAACAGTAGTTAACTGATCCATTAAAGTTTAATTCTGTGTTATTAGATTTTTACATCGGGGCATTAAAGTGCTTAAACTCTCCTGTCGCTGGAGTGCCCACTTCTTCTTAAGACTAACTTTTTGAAAGGTCTTAAGTGCCATTTTATATACAGAAATGCATTGTTCGCCACATGCTCATGGTTGAATCTGACTGTCTAGGTACCAGGTACCTACCACCTATTTAAAATTCTGCAGAGGTAACAGTTATGCTTCTGTGGCTCTCACAAGGTGTGAAAAACATCTGATGTGACAAAAGACGTTATGCACAATGGTTAATATAATTTTTATGACTCCATGTTTGCTTTAGGTATAATAGACAATCAAATTAATGCAGTGTGCAAAACATAGCAAATAAACATATTTCCTGTCCTTTATTACCCCGTATCAGCCCTGCTATCATACAGAGTATTGCTTACTAATGAATAATGATAACTAGATAGGATATTTGTTTTGTTCTTATTCATGTAAATGAAAAGGGAACTCTTGGGAAACTAGAGCCAAATTTACTGCTGGTGTAAGGTGAGGCTATATTCACAGCTATATTTATTTGCACACATGGTGAATTTGGTCCAAAGAGTCAAGAGCATTTGCTACTTCAGAGCTGAATAATAGACAAAGTTCTGATTCTATGTAATATGGAGTCGCGCCTTCTAAAATTTTAAACATATGCTTAACTTTGAAAATTGTTTCCAGTGAGACTTTTTGACTTGCCAAGTAGGAATGGACTTAATCATTTGCTTAAATACGTTACTGCACATTTAAGTTTTACTGGGTCATCTGAACCCAGCACTCTTTCCTGTCTACGCAGGGGGTCGGACTCGATGATCTATTGAGGTCCCTTCCGACCCTAACATCTATGAATCTATGATTCTGTGAATATTCAAGTTTCCCTTAGTCAAATTAAACCATCTACAAGTTCAATGTCAATTTTACCGACACTTTACACCTTATTGTAGAACCACAGGACAATTGCTGCTCTATTTTGCTACTGTTTCAGATATTTTTTTAACAACACTTAATAATACAAAATGGGAAGCAAAGTTAAAAAGAACTTGCTTCACTTACAGTCTTTAAAGTATCTTGCTAAACTTGGCATATGTTCGAGCTTCTACTTAGATTCATGCAAAAGGCTATTCTCCAGTCAATGCAACAGTCATTCAGCTTGGGAAGATAGAGGTAGTTGAATATGATGTTAGCCACATTGGGTGCCTGTAGACATGCAGGGAGGCTGCTCCAATGCACTGTAACTACAGTGTGTCAGAGCAGACTCAACTAATCGAGTCTGCTGCAGCGTGCTAATTAGCACACCTCCAGCAGCCTCTGCGTCTCATGTATCAGCATCCCTGTACTTCAAAAGGGTGGCATTTGATGAGCTTCAGTTAAAGCACCCCTGCCATCATTTTGAACTACGGGGACATTGATACATGAGATGCTGCAGATGCTTTAATTAGAGTGGTTCCTGGAGCCCCTCTAATTAAAATGCCCTCCCCAACACCCAGAGCATGTATAAAAATGCCCATTATTGCCTTGTACGGTCTTGGCTACAGAAAGTGCCATGCCGTGACCGTAATAGTTTGACTTGCCATATTGGCTTAACCTTTGATCATCCCTTTTGTTGTTATATTCGAATAATATTCTCTTATTCTCATACGTCACTGATTAATTGGAAGATAGAAGTTTGACACATACATTCAACTTTCAAGTTAATGAAAAAATGACCAACTACATTTTTTTTTCTTGTTCTGTGACATTCCCTACAAATATTTACTATGGTGAACAGATGCCTTGTTCCTGCTCTCCATTCTAAAATGTTAGTGACAGATATAGTTAGGTTTTCCTGTTCTTCCTCTGTTGCATCTAGCACTGTGATTGTTGGCCAAACCTCAGTTCAACCTTAAAATTATCATACAGGGGTGACACAAACAAGTATAAGTACCATCCCTGCTATTTTGACTCACTTGGAATCCCCCCACATGTGGTTTGAGATACAGCCATCTTTCTTGTGTCATACTGAGATCACTTGAGGCAGCTGAATTAATAGTCCCTTGATTTAAAAGGAAGCCGAAAGAATTTTCAGCCCTAGAATTTATTTCATATATTAATTCATCACAGCTTAACTGTACCAAACTTCAAGTCATTTTGCAAAGCTTATCCTTTCTCTGAGGTTCTATCTTGAAAGAAGTAATGACCCTGGGAAGTAGGAGTCACTGGAAAATGTAGCACTGAGAAATGAGAAGCAGTTCCCATTTATTTGTTGTATTAATTAAAATTCATTCCCCTGCCCAATTCTCATTTTACATTTGAAATATATACATAAAATGAGTATAAGAATCAAACCTCCAGGTGCCAATTTTTATATATATATGAAAATTGGCATGTGCAGATTTGATTCTTATACTCATTTTATATATTTTATTGTGTGTGTGTGTGTGTGCGTGCACGCACGTGCATGCGTATAAAGAAAACTGGAATCTGTAGATTTGATTTTTATACTTATATAGAACTAGTGCATTCATTATTATGCTAGAAAGGATTTAGCAAGGAAATGCCCTTGCTTCGCTTTAGAGTAAAAAAGAATAATGACAATTTGCACCTTCTCTAATGATCATCTTTGGTGTCGGTCTAAAGAGATCCAGTTTATCCATCATCCTGACTATGTAGTGCTGAAAATATATCTACCTACAGTAGGGTTGTGGTGAAGATGGAAAAATGGCTCTCTCTACTATTTAAATGCAGAGGTTCTCAAGTTCTTTGCTGTGGCACATTTTGCTTAAGTTAGACATCAGAAAGGATATTAATATGTCTACAAAAATAATAAAAACAAACCTCGAAAACAGGAACTAAAGCAAACACTTACCTGAACAATAAACATGGCTATATGGTGGAATTCGCCCCGGCCACCCTGTTTCACTGGGACAGTCATAAAGAACTTGTTTCCATCTTTGGAGAAAACTGGCTCCTCATTCTATAAATATAAAATGGTGTCAGTTTTCTGAATTCCCCCATTCAATTCTTTACCAAATATTTGTCTTTTAAATCCATGAGTTCACCTTGATTACACTAAAGTTACAAAGAAGTCCTTAGCCTTTCAGCATAACTGTTCTGATATACTGCACTAACAAGAGCAGACAAGGACTACTAAAGCTGACACCGATCTGACGTGTGTTTAATTCAGTAGCTATAAGTTCAGAAGCTGGTCTAAAACTCTGGCTGAACATTTTGGCTGCCAGCCTCAAAAAAAATAGACTATCTTTTGGTAGTCTCTCCTTTCCCTTGAGTTGGAAATACTAAAAGACTTTCTTTTACAGCCATATAATGGTAAAATTTTACCAGTGGCAATCCTGCTAAATGTGTTCTATTACTTCAATTCAGCAAGTATTTTAAAACTCCTTTAAGTCTCCTTGGGTGCCTGTAGACATGTGGAATGCTGCTCCAATGCGCTGTCATTACAGTATGTTGGAGCAGACACCGTTAATTGAGTCTGCTGGAGTGTGCTAATTAGCATGCTCCAGCAGCCTCTGCATCTTGTGTATTCAGAGTCTCCAAGCTTCAAAATGGTGGCAGGGCTGCTTTAACTAAAGTTTGTCAAATGAGCTTTAGTTAAAGCAGCCCTGCTGCCATTTTGAAGCCTCTGCTCTCGTTAAAGCATCCCCCTGGGAGCATATGTAAAGACACCTGTTGGTTTTAAGGGAACATGGATACATATCCTGTTGAATCCTGATGGACACAGTAAGCACATTTAAGGGCTTTGCTGAATGAGGATTGTATCTTTACCTGTTCCACTGGTGTACTTACCTCTGTTTATCATTGCTTTCGTCATCTAACTTAGTGTACTTGAGGAAGAATGTCTTACTTTCTAAAAACTAGTCTAATTTTTCCCAACCAAATACTTTGTCCAGTACAAGATGTCATCCTAAGAAACCCTTGTTTCTCGCATAATTTCTGGACCATCATGGCTGCCACATCACTCTTACACTATAGAAATGTTAGGCATTGCTTAGCATAAAAATCTTAATTTTTGTAATAACTTCGAATTGCAAGATGAAACCTGAATTGTGTTTTAAATAAAATGCATTTCATTCATTTATGCAGTTTGTTGGGTGTTTTTATTTGACCTTGGGAAGTTGAACAACCTGCTGACATGTTGTTTCTACATGCTGTTACTGTGTATGGGCATTGCTGTGTTATTCTCTGGAGGCCTATGTGCCTGCTCTTCTTTCCACGCTTTTGTGTCAGTTGCTAACAGAAGTGACACAAGCCTATTTTTTTTTTATTGGAAAAGTCAGCAGAACAAATAAAATGCATTTAAAGAACACCGCTGAAATGTAGAATTTTTATGTAAACACTTTTCCAATCAACATGTTAAACTATTATAGGGATCCAAAACAGCTGACAGTTTTGTTAAGAGAAAAGGCTTTTTATGCTCTTCTAATCAAAATAAGCTTAGCAATATAAGCATACACACTGTTACACATTATATTTATGAGGCATTATTCAGATGGTACCTGTTTAGAAAGCCACACGTCTGACTGCATCTCGTATTTCTAAGAGGAAAGAATGATCTTTAGGAAATATCAAGAGACAAACATAGCACTTACATTCATCAAAACAAATGTATATTTTATCATGTATTCCATTTGTGTTTCAGCACTCAAGCTCTCTCATTATCATCACTGAAAGCGCACAAATAACTAGAAAGTTGTAACATGATAATAATTAAATTAAAAAGTCAACTGCCTTTCTGAATTTTTAGCAGAACACCACTAGTAATATAAAACACCTTTTAAACCCCTTTTGACTAGCTATCAAGAAGTTTGAACAGGCATCAATATCGGGCATTTATCTCTAGGCATCATCTGGCAACTGGAAAATTTAGGTCCTTTTAACTACATTGGGCCATCAGCCAGCATCAGACTCCTAGTGTGAGACTTTTTGAAATTTCCACCCTTTGTTTTCATCACATCAAGGTTTTCATGGATAGTAATTTTGTTTTTACTAAGCCTGAATATCAAAATCAATCAAATAGCACTGAAAATAGGATTCTTCCTGTAAGACTACCAGCCCTAAATCATATACCATACCACCCTTTATTCCACATATGTACTGGTAAAAAAAATGAGGCAGGAATTCAGCTGCTGTAAATCATCACAACTGCACTGAATCCCGACAATTTACATCAGCTGAGGATCTGTCCTATAAATACAGTCTGACTGACTGAAATTCCAGTGGATGCCATAATTAGATACTTGGTTGTTATATGATACTTTTTGCAACAGCAAATGCACACCTAAACTCTTGATTTACTAAAACTTTGGGCATGAAATACGAATGAAATGGTGACGTGCTGTAAAACATTCTTACCTTGAGTTTTTCAAGTTAGCTACCGATACCTGTGCCAATTCCTCTTGTCGCTGAAGTCAATAGCTACACTTTCACTGAACTGAATAGCTGCTTTGCCTATATTGCCATAGTTACCAGTCTAGGCACTGTTGCCCTTCCTCAAGGTCTCAGGTGTACATGCACCTGAGCCTTACTTTCTCGAGATGGATTTTTTCATGTCACTCTCTCCTACACTTGGGATACAGTTCCCTGAGACACACCTGAGCCGTACTTGCCCAAGATGGATTTTTTTCATGTCGCTGTCTCTTACACCTGGGTTACAGTTCCCTGAGTATCAATCATGGCAACGTCACCAGGTCCAACTAGGGTTGGATGTCACAAAGGTATCTTTTCCTGAGGAAGGCTGGGACAGCAGTCAATCAAAGCAACTCATGGCAAAACATTATTTATTCATTCAACTAAAGACACAGAGCATGAAGAGCCAACTTATAAAATAAAGAAGTCCTACACTCAACAATCCCATCACAAAGTTTGCCTTTAACTCAGGCAGATCAGTCATATTCCCCATCTCTAAGATGGGAGAAACAGCCTACACTGCTTGCAACACACTTCCTTCAGGTGTGGGTGTGCCTGCACTACTGTTTTGGATGTGAACGAGCAAGAAGCAGATTCACAATCTCAGTATAAGCCACTGGTAGATGTCTTTAGATTCTGGGGCTAAACGTCTATCTTTATTTATCAATCTTTAGTAATTTGGAGTTCCTGGTTTTACTTTTCAGGTTTAAAGCAGCTCTTGACAGCATCTGGTAGAATGAAAAAAAAGGAATTGCCTCAGCATACATTGATGGTATTTGTGTTAGTTTTGGGAGGAAAATATGATGCAGACTGGAAAGGCGGTCAAAAGCAATCAAGATGCAAGATTAATGATAAAGATGGAAAAAGAGGTCAAAAGTGGCTTATCTGAGCCAGAGGATAGGATATGGCTGGATTAAACTAGAACCTGCACAGGTGAAAGATATGAAGGATTTGTCTGGTCCTCAAACCAGTAAATAAATCCAGGTGTTTTCTGGGATGCCTGGCTCTCACATCACTGAGCTATTTCAGAAAGGTACCCCAAACAAGGCAGTTTGAATGGAATAGCATTAGAAAGCTTTCTGTGAACTAAATGAAGTCCTGAGTAAAGATTCAGCTGTAGTATACCCAGGCATTGGCAAGACTTCTATGGTTTTCAAAAATACTAAATTAGATGCTGTGCGAATACATTTTCCCATGAGAGGAGAACTGTATATCTAAGAAAGGAATTGCTGGACCAAGATAAAAAACTATGTTGCTCTCAAAAAAATAATGTCTTGCTATATGGGCTTGAACAAATTGCAATCAGATCTACTTGGCTGCCATTTTACTGTGAACATCAATCACTCACTTTTTACCTGGTTTCATCATATAAAAGGATCTAATATCAAGTTTTAGATGGAGATAAATCCTCCAGGATGATGACATAGAGGTGGTTCTTGTCAAAGGCACTGTGAACCTAATAGCAGATGCTCTATTCAGGAATACTCAGTGGACAATCTCACTCAGTCTTTTTCCCTAAGGAAAAGCAATATGATAGACTTAGAAGTATCTTAAATTATTTTTATCAAAGTTGCACATCAAAAAGAGACTGAAAGAGGGAAGTCAACAGGAAATGAAGCAACGGCCAAAAAAAAAATCTAAAAACTTAGAGGAGTTCTTGATTGGCCTTATTTGGCCCATTCAGTTTAGCCTGTTTTTTCAGTGCTAAACCTAGGATCACTTGGGAGCCTAAACTTTAATGATAATTAACTTAGGAAGGAATGGGAAGAGGGCGAGTTTATCAGTTGGTTCAGGCTGACACAAACTGATTGCAACAACCAGCCTTACTTTGTCCCCAAGAGAGTGGGTTACTTAGGTTAAGTCATGTCTTCTCATGGCCTGAAGGGGGTGGTAGCATGATATGCACCCACATTTCTTTAATAAATGCATTTCTTTAAGTTCTTCAAACTTTGGGAAAATAAATTATGCTTTGCACAAAGAGGGTCATTTGGTGTCACTCTATATCGTTACTATCTGCAGGCTCTTGAAGAGAAACTCTTGTAGGTGTCAAACCCATTGGAGAGGTAACACAAGGATGGTTTTCAGAAACCCAGTCAGAAAATGGTTAGATTCAAGGAATCCCACTCCAAAGGGTTGGAGGGAGGTGTTGGAGGTCTGGCCTGTCAAGGGAATGCATACCAAGGACTTGAAAAAGGCCTCAGCTACAACAAGAATGGGCTGCAATGTCCATGTTTGGAAAATCACCATGGCAAATAGTATGAATGAAACAGCTATTTCTGAAAGGTGCTGCAGTGTATTTAGAGTAGAAATGTAATACAATAGTCAGCACCTTTTTTGACACCCTCCTAGGCAACCGCATCACCTCTCCATTACCTCCTGGGTTTCTGTGGTCTATCTGGTGAGGTAATTCAAAAGTATTTCTGAACTTATCCACACATATAGAAAGGCTGGGTAAAGTGGGATGGCTGATGGGTGTATGTCTTTGGAAATAGAGATTCAGGGAGGTCACGGTATAAATACACAAGTCCCGATTCTGTTTTTATTGAACTCAAGGAGAAAGCTGCCATTATCAGCAGTTCAAGCAGGAATTGAGTCAGAGGGTGTGCAGGCAAGAGATGAAGAATGAGCAACGAGAAAGTGACCTGAGCTTTTGTGGGAGGGAAAAAAATCATCCATTTTCAAGTGCTGCTGCAGTTGCAGTGAAAGCATTACAATAAGCACATCCTTTTTACTGAGAGCAGCCACCTTGAAGCCAAATTATAGAATGAAACCTTACTTATTACTGGTCTTCCGCACTGCTGTCAAAAATGTAACTTCTGAGCAGTGACTTCTAGTTGAAGGGAAACTCGAAACAAAAAATATCTTCACCACAGACCCTGTATATAATCAGCCCTCCAAACACAATCTAGGGCTTCATGAGAGTGACTCCCATTGTTAGAAAAAGTAGGTGTGAGTTTGTCTGATGCCCATCAGTTTCCTTTCAGTTTCCTCAGAAAGGTGAATTCAAAAAAACCAAAAACTCTAGAGACTTAACGCTAAAATAAATTATGCATGCATGGTGATTTTCCAAGATTTATCAAAATTCCTGTATTTTCCCTTTTAAATCTATGAAACTATTACAGAGACTAGGGAAACCATTACAGGATAGGAGAAAGAGGCATCTGAGAATACCTGAAGGCACAACCTTCTTGGCCCTGCCTTGGCTATGAACATAATATTTTCCATCTGTTCTTCAGAGGTGCTGAGCAACTTTTGCTTTACTAAAGTTAATGAGTGAACAAAGCTCAACAAGTCTGAAAATCAGACCGGTAGATTTTACTGCAGTTATTGCAGTATGAGGTTTGAAATGCTATCATGTTACTTCGCTCCTGGTTGTCCTCTTATATTTAGTTAACAATTATGGCATCAAAAGATATTCCAAATACCTTTACTTTCTGATTCAAATCAGGACAAAATGTTGCAAAGAAGCAAACGGGGAAATCTACTTACTCTGCTACAAGCACCAGTCGTGGTCTCACAAACCGTAAGGATGGAAATGTTCTGAGGTCTGTTTAACCATCTCACCACAGTCTTGGTATTGCTCACCCACTTCACCATAGTGATGTAGTACTCTCTGGGATAAACATACATTTTAAAATGTGGTATTCATATCACGTATAGTTCAGCTAGAAAAGCATTTTAAATTATAGCTACCTTATACAAACCCTGGCAAGCAAAACATTGACTGAGTGGCCCCATAAGCAAATATTATCACTGAGAGAGGGATGTAAGGGAACTCAAATAGCCAACAAGGTACATGATGGAAATTAAAATTACCACTAGGATTAGTAGCTAGGGTACAGTGCTCTTCCGGGAAGTTCTTGCTCCTTTAACAGTTATTTTGAAGCCTTGCAGACTTACTCACCTTCAAAGGCTTTGGCCTATCTGACTGCAAGCAATAAAGTATTTGATTAGGATGCAAACTGCATAAAATAGAAATTAGGAGCATGTGAAATTCTTTCCAGATTTGCAATCGCTTCCAAAAATATGCACTTATGCACATACATGTGTGCTTTACTTTATGGAAGTGAAACATAATCGTTTGCATATTTAGAAGAAAAACTATCCTCTGGTTTGGGCCAAACACTCTAAGTTAGACCTTGCAAAACAATGTAAGCTCAACAACTGATGCATGATGATGAAGCAGGCTTATTGGTCTGTTCAGCACTCAGTATAAATAAATACATAAATACACAAAGTCAAACCTACATAGAAAGTGCTGTATATAAACCGGACTTTCCTACACTAAATCACATCTATTAAAATGTTCGTTCTGAATAAGTATTCAGTACCTTTTTGCTATGCCATATATTTCTGTCTGCTGGACAAAGAGCAAATAGAAAATAAAGTAAACTTTTCATAAATAGAAAACCCTCCTCCCCCTCAAACAAAATCAAAACAAAAACCAACAGTTTGCAATGCTATGAGACAACTGGGATTTTATAATGCCATTTTTACACTGCAAGTATTTTAAGCAAGACACAATATTACTGTTAATTGACAACCACTGTAGCAACTAATACTACAAGACACACCATGTCCCTACACAAGGTTGGCAAAGCAAAGCAAAGGAGTCCAATAGACGGGCTTTAACGTTATGGGGAATCTACTTCTCTCTTCCTATAACCTTGTTAGGCAGTCAAACTGGAGATGTGGAGGAAGGCCTGTTGCAGTCTGTCATCACAAAGATGTCTGGCATCCTTGCTTCAGTTCTCTGCTCCTGGCAGCTCTCAGTCTGGCTGCACAGCTCTCAGGTTTGGTTTCAAACAGTTGGCTTAGAAATTCAGTCTGATGTTAAAACCAATGGGCTTAGCTTGTGTTAAATTAGATTTTTAAGGCAGTTTTGATGCATGATCCTTTACTTATTAATAGCACAGATTAACTTTAACAGCAGGGGTAGCCTGTGAGATAGTTCCATACAATTCTGATGCTGTACATAAAAGATGAGGGATGCAGAACTTAATACAGCTACAAATGGCCTGAGTTTGGTCTCACGTTTGTAAAATGGGAAAGAATAACCACACCTGCACATCATGCCTGGAACTACTTTTCCTGTCTCTCATACTTGGCTCCAAGTGATATAGCTATTCTTCAAGACTAGGGCATGACATGCCAGGCTGAATATGGGAACCCCCAAGTATGTTGAGAGGTAGCACTTGTATTTGGTTTTTTCTCCAAGCTTTATCAATGTGGCAGAGAGCCAATATGGGGGCCAACAAGTCATGAGACCTGGTTTTGCATGATTTCTAAATGGTGGAATTACTTTAAGGAAACCAAATGTGTATCTGTGGATATCCAACTCATGAGGGATGAGGAGAAAACTTCATAGATATACAAGTCATCAGGATGCAGAGAGTTTCTAATCTGAGTTCATGTAGATAAAAGGGCACTAGTTCCCTATTCTTTGCTAGAAACCTCTGTTGGGGCCCACAGTGAGCTACACCCTAGGGCCATCTTCCAAACACTGAATCAATGGCCTATTTAATATTTGTTACTGATTTTGGTCCTGACAATGTGTTTGTAGCACCACAGAACTGAACAAGGCTCTCCAAGAGTCTTTACAAAATGCTAAATTCACAAAAGATGAATGCATGTTTGGGATGGATCAATAAGAAGGCTTAGGTGCAAGACACAGGAGATGAAAGTGCTGTCCACTCAGTGCTGATTACGCTGCATCTGGAGGACAGTGTGCAGTTCTGGGCTCCAGGTTTTAAAAAAAAAGCAAACACATGGGGAAGCTAGAGAGGGTCCAGAGGCAGGTGACAAAGACGACGAAGGGCTTGGGAAACAAGTTGTACGAGAAAGGGCTGAAGGAGCTAGGCATGGTCAGTTTGCGGAAAAGGTGCTTAAGAGGGGACATGATAGCAGTCTTCAAATACTTGAAGGGCTGCCTAAAGAAGAGGGAAAGCACTTTTCCCCTCTTGCTGCAGAGAGGAGGATGTGGACCAATGGTTCGAAGTTGCAGCAAATTAGGTTTAGATTGGACAGCCAAATTAGGTTTAGATTGGACTCCTCTAAGTGTGGAGGGTCCGCCCCCCCCACTCCCTGCCCACCCAAGCTCCGCACTCCCGCTGCCCCCCGGGGCACAGGCTCCACGCTGCCCCCAGCCCCATGATCTGCGCTCCCACCCAGCTGCAGCTCCTCTCCCCATCCCTGCCACTTTCCTACCTGGTGCCCTGAGATGCCAAAGAAGGTGAGCAGGTCCCCTGGCGGCTGCAGCAGTAGCAGTGGCAGGCCTGCCCAGAAGCTGTATGGAGGCTGGGCCAGACCCTTCCTCCCACAAGGATGCGAGTCAGGCACATGGGCTGGGTAGGGTACAATTAGTTGGTGGGTGTGCATGGGCCAGAAGAAATTGACTGGGGGGCTGGATCCCGGCTGTATTTTGCCTGCCCCTGCTCTAGGTGCATATCAACCCTGCTTTCTGACTGACTACAGACCAACAATCTAACTACCTCTCTCAAAATCAGACTGTGCCATTCTTTAGGTGATCAGTAAATATTCAGTACCATGGTAGCAGTTGACTGCCTTCAACTACATCCCTCCCTTTATCTTTGAGTTACTTTCACTACATAGCTTCCTGCTCATGTAATAAGCAAAGCAAGCATGCAACAAGCAGTAGTCTCACTCGCTATGCATCCCTGATTTACCCCCACAGCCTTTTGCACTGAATGAGGCAGGGGAATTTTCCTGTGGAAAAATTCTACGTGATCATGAAACAACACAACCTCTCAAAAGAGATGATCACAGTTGCACTAGCAGTACTAATTCTGGCATGCCTTAACTCCTGAGTACCTGACTCTACAACCTTAAAAATGGTCTTCTCATTTGAATCAAAGCATGTGATTGCATCATGCTGGTCAAAGAAAAGCTTACCAATTTTTTTTTTAATATGAGGAAAATAATCCCTCCCCCCCCCTCCATCTTCAATGTCTAAATAGCCAAATTGTTTTGACAGAAATTAAAGATGTAGTAGATTTACTGTGAGGCAGACAGTATAAATGGGTGTGTGCAGACAGAACGGGGGCCCTAAATTGAAGCGGTGGGCTTTTTAGGGTGAAGTAAACCCCCATGTCGTGCACACACCCTGCACTTACCTGCCTGTTGGGTGGCGGAGAGGGGAGGCTGAACTGCCAGAGTGCAGAGTGGGCCCCGGGCTGCGATGAGGGACAGTGGTTCCCTCTGCGGCAGTGGAGCCCTCTTCCCCTACCCCCTCCCCGGCAGCACCTGCCCGCAGGCACCCGGCAGACTGAATGGCTAGAATTTGTCAAAATTATACCAGGGACTTATAAGACTGCAAAACCTAACAAGACAGTGCAGAACAGCCTTTCCTACCATGTCCTAACTGCATTTTATACTTATAGTTATTTTTTATATTTACATTCCTATTTTTGTACAATTTTTACTTTTAATTTAGTATTGATATGCTAGTTTATGTCTGCAGCATAATAAAAGCTAACTCTTTTATTATTACTTTAAAACGTATGATCCTCCTATCTCATTTGTGAGTTTTGGAATGCTTATGAATTAGAAGATACATGCATTATCTTACTGCCTGCTATGGTAAGTGCTTAGCAAAGTCAACAGAGACAGTAAGCTGAACAAAGAAAAGGGATTTGCATTAAATTACACTGGAAGGATAGTTATATTCATAATCTAAATTTGCCTGAAGAGCAGAAACTTAGGTTTAAATTAGAATAGCCTGAGAAAAACTGTTTTGAGCCTTAAAATAGGAAACTGTCCAAGAAAAATTCCAATTCCAATCATAAAGACATTGTGTTCTAATTTAGAGGTAATGGATAGGTTGTGAAACATATCTACCTACTAGAGTAGAGGGAAGGTTCTGCTATATAAAAGTGTAGAGGCAGTGGAGTGGTGCTATACTGTCTTAGCAACTTCTTAATTGTTGTAGATTTGGTTGCATAAATACAATAGGCCTTACTTGAAAAAGCTAAGCTATGATGCTCTGTTAGGTTGCTGGTTCATTGTCTACTGTACAAGGAAAACATAAGAGTCTTGTCTAACTAATGCCCTTCTAAAAATATTGTATTCATTAACTTATTTATGTTGCTAACCAGAAAGTTGTTCTATGAATGCTTGAGCACTAGCAGAATGTTGCACACGTTTGAAACCTGTGCAAACAGAGATGAAGTTTTCACAACCATAGAATCATAGAAAATTAGGGTTGGAAGGGACCTCAGGAAGTCATCTAGTCCAACTCCTTGCTCAAAGCAGGACCATCCCCAACTAGATTATCCCAGCCAAGGCTTTGTCTACCTGGGTCTACAAAACCGCCAATGATGGAGACTCCACAACCTCTCTGGGTAACCTGTTCCAGTGTTTTACTACCCTCCTAGTAAGAAAGTTCTTCCTAATATCTAACCTAAACTTCCCTTGCTGCAACTTGAGACCATTGCTCCTTGTTCTGTCATTGGCCACTACTGAGAACAACCCTAGTTCCATCCTCTTCTGAACTACCCTTCTGAAGGCTGCTATTAAATCCTCCCTCAGTCTTCTCTTCTCCAGAGTAAACAAGCCCAATTCCCTCAGCCTCTCCTTGTAAGTCAAGTGCCCCAA